CCCAGGGGTTAGGGTTAGGGTTAGGATTAGGGTCAGGGCTTGGGTGGCCATCCGTGGAGGGCCTGGTCTCTCCCAGGGGGTGCTCACCAGTCTCCCAGTCTCTGGAATGGAACCCAGGGCCTTAGGCGTGCCAGGCAAGTGCTCTTCCACTGAGCTGCACCCCAGCGACCCTCGTTCTTGTGGAGAGGCCGCTGAGGCCCCCCAGTTCTTGGGGAGGCACATGAGGCCATGGGCTGCCCACCTGGCCAGCAGCACCCTCACAGAGAGTCCTGTGGCTTCTCACTGTCCACCAGCAGCTGGTGCCCACTGGACCTGGCATCTGGAGGCCACCAACCCAGCTGCAGATCTGGGCATGTCACTCTAGTACCTACTTGTGGTCCCCATGGCACTGGGCCCAACACCATCAGCTGGCTCTGAACAGCAGCCAACAAGATGGGCAGAGTCTTGCGGGCCAGGCCTTTGCTGCCCAGGGCCTCACCCCTGTCCTGCTCCAGGGGCACCTACCCATCCCTGGACCAGACACAAGGCTCGCGGCCCAACAGCAAGCGTCCTGAGGGGTTTCTACTCTGGGAGAAGGGCAGAGCCCAGCAGCGCCATGGACATGCCAAGGACGGGGGCTGGCAGACAAGTTGCCAGGGAACCACGTGGACCCTCCATCACTGATACGGAATCATAGGAAGGCCACCACTAGGGAGGGACAGTCCCAGGGGGACTCCTCCCAGAGGAGGAGACAGAGAAGAGAAGCTGAGGACACGGGAGCACGTGTCCAACATGAGGGTGAGCGAGAGGAGGGCAGGGCATGGCCCCCAGAACAGGGCACTGAGGATGCGCCCACAGGTGGCCACTCAGGCAGGGAGGGCAAGTAAACTCAGAGGGCACCTCCCAGAACTCAGGAGACACAGGATAGCACTCAAGCACGGAAGGTGAAGAACCGTGTTCCAAGCCTGCCATACCCGAGCCACAGACTGTGGGAGGCCAACCTTACCGGTGACTGAGTTACACTCCCCAGCTGGGTGCTGAGGCGCTCAGTCACAGAAATGGGTGTGTCTTGCTAGAGCCCCATGGGTGGAGCTACACTCACCTGTTCCTTTGTAATATAACCCCTTGCCCTGTTTAGGATAGAATCTCCTATGGAAGTGCCTTGTGTGTGTCCCCTCCTCTTACTGTGCCCTTGGGTGTGGCCTACCCAGGTGTCAGTCAACCTGCTGACAGTGGACATCATGAAGATAGACTCAGCCCCCTGAAACCTGACCCCTTGCCTCATTTGAATAGCTTCTCCTCAATAAAAGGGGTCAGCGCGTGCTCTCTCTCTCTCTTTCTGTGGACCCTTAAGGTCAGAGGAGCCGTCACAGCAACCCCAAAGAAAAAGGTCTTTGTGTCTCTTGTGTGGTTATTTCGTGCAGCCCAGTGAGCCCAGTTTAACTAGAGTGACCCCTGAGCCTTTCAGTCGCGAGAACAGAAACCCGGCAATTGGCGCCCAACGTGGGGCGAAAGGTCTTTAAGCCGCCGGGACAAAAGCGACAAAGGCTGGCTCCTAAGGGGACTCCAATTTAAATATTAAAGAAAGTTAGTGAAGTGGAACGTTCTCTCCAGAAGTTAAGCATGCTTAGGATTGCAGAGTATTGTGGGCAGAACTGTAGAAAGTAAGTGAATTAGACAAAAGGAAAATCTGTGACGTTAAAATTTTTAATATTGGGGTATAATTGTAGAGACTCTAAATAAATATAGTTATTAAGATGATTGATGGGCTATGTTGTTGAGTTGAGTCCTCTCCATGGAAAGCGTGCTTTTGTGGATTTTTTAAAATTGTTTTTATAAATCTTTATAAAAGATTTTTGGGGGGCTAGGATTGTTGCTCAACGGTAGAGTGCTTGCCTAGCATGGGCGGAACCTGAGTTCGATCCTCAGCATCACATTAAAAAAAAAAAAAAAAAGCTTTAAAAAAAAGATTTTTTTGGCCTTTATGTTCTAGAAGTTTGCGCTAGAAGAGTGAGAAAAAGGGAGAGAAAATGTGATGTTTACCTGGAGAGAAATAAGTTTCAATTTTCTATTGTTTTTGTCAATACTCAGAAAGTATGTACGGACCTTTTCACTACATGATTGTCCTATGAATCAGAATGGCTGTGACTCAGCCGCTGGGGACAAGAGACTTTAGCTGCTGCTGCTTGCTGCTCGCTATGGGGTCCTAGCCCCTGCGTCCAGCAGTGCCTTTAACCCTTGAATTACCTGACCTAAATGCCATGGCAATACCCGAGCCACAGACCACGCAGGTGACAGCCCTCACCTCAGGCCTCTGAGGTGGAACACACACCATCAGCCAAGGTCACTGTCAGCCAAGGTCACTGTCGGAGGCCATAGTCAAGGAAGAAGAGGCCCAAGCACTGACCAGACAGTCACAGAGAAATAAGGAGACTAAAGAAACGCCCAATCTGCGTAAGGACCTAGAACTCCGCCCACACACGCAGACAGCAGACGGAGACGGGGGCGGGGACATGCTGAGACATCCCTCCCCACAGGAAGAAGACAAGATGAAGACGGGGCTGGGAATCCCTGGACAGCCAGGAGGAGTGAGGCCAGGCAGCTGCAGTGAGGACCAAACGTGGACTGGCCACTGTTAAGCCAGCAGAGAAGGGAGAAACACAAACGCAGACCTCGGGGAGTGGGCAGCGTGACTAGAGTGACAGCACGATGCCCGACGTGGCGAGCCGCGTCCTGAGAGCAGCCGTCTGTCTGTGATCACAGCCAGACTGCCCCGTGCCCTCGCAGCCAGGAGGAGGAGGCCAGGGGAGGTGACGGAGAGAGGGAGGAGGCCAGCAGCTGAGCAGAGACCTGGACAAGCACCTTCAGGTCTGGACCTCGTGACCAGAACCCATGGAATTCCACTCGGCCCAAGGGTACGCCGTCAGCATGCGGGAGCCCCTTCTGAAGGGCATTGGCCATT